GGTCAGCTCTTGCCTTCCACCTTGATGTGGGTTCCAAGGACCAGACTTGCACCGTGGCACCTTTACCCCGCTGAGCCATCCCAGCATCTCCATTCGAACTGTTCAAGAAGTCCAAAAGAGAATCCGGCGACCAGGAGGAGATGGGGACAGCAGCAGAGTTGGGGACCTTTTGTGTCCACTGAAAGGCCAAGCTTTAGAGTTCCTTGTGGAGCCAGGTTCCCGTTGCTATCGTTTGCCAGTTAGAGTCAAAGGCGCATCCACAGTCCTCCAAGGAAGGACCAGTCCTCCATCTAACCTGCCAGTGGTGTTACTTGAGTGCTTTGCTTGTGGGATCCTGCTAGCTCCACGCCCTCCCCCAACTCCCCCCCCCCCCCCCCCCCCCCCCCCCCCCGGCTTGGAATGGCTGCTCCGTCTTGAGATTATATCTCTATGTCCTGCCCCGAAGCCCTTTGGTAGCATTTGTTTGGCTCTGTTTGCAAGTAGTTGGGATTCCTGGTGCAGTCCTCTGCCTGGCAGGTGAGCGCAGATACTGTAATTGTCACCCAGGTTGGGTCCAAGTGCCCTCTGCCAGAGCCTGTCCCCACAATGACGGTGGCTGACTTCCAAGCTGCCATTCCCAGGTCCCTCCTCACTAGACCCCTGGAAGAAAATGAACACCATACATACATACCACCTGTTCACCTCTCCCTCTCGGGACCCCATCAGCCTCGTGTGCCATCCCACACATCTAGGTACCCAAAACCTTGATCCCACCCATCTGCCATCTTCTCTCAAGGTTAGCATGATGGGGGCTGGGAGACACTAACATCTCCTGTCTACTCAAGGTCAGTCAAGGACAGTTACCCACTCCCTGCAGCTGGTCTACTGTCTCCACTCACTACTGGAATGCGCTCCTTGAAATGGAGCAAAGAACGCCTTAGACGAAGAGCTTCAGTTTCTCCCACTACCCAAGTTCTACCACCTCTTACCTCTCTGATTTCCAGGTCTCCACCCCTCATGGGTACCCTATGACTGAACAAGGCCTGGCTCAGCAGAGGTTCTCTCTGTATGAGATAGAGATGGCAGTTGGACAAGTGTGGGGTGGACCCATGGATGTGTATATAAAGCCACACAATGGGCAGGAAGATGACATCCATCAGGGCAGACAGACAGATGGAGGAGAGGGTAGGTTGGTAATTAGTGGAAGACAATGAATGGACATAAATGAATGGGCAGCTGAGCGAGTGGAAGATAATAGAGTAATGGATGGAAAGACAGATGCATGAACGGACAAAGGCATGGACAAGTGTCAGAACAAATGGACGCTCCACTTTTCTTCTTTAGTAGAAATTAAATCAAGCCAGAACCCCAAGTGCACTCGAGCTGGAGACTCCCCGCCTAGCAGATGGCAATTTTGTGCCGGGACATGAAAAAAAGTAGACATGGTCAATACCGCCCTCTGGCGGTCACTGTGGGAGTGACCACTCCAAAGCCTGGCTTGGCCGCCCTGGAGTTTATCCAGCTGGTTGTTGGTAATGGATCTACAGAGCAGACTGATGCTGTACCCAAGGGGAGGCTCCATCAAAGGCTCGGAGACAGTGCACTGCAGCTACAGAGTACAAGGCACTGGTCCCATTGTTCCATCACACCCCAAAGGACCCACTCTTGGCTAAGAGCTGTTGGAGGATGCCTGAGGAGAGCTGCCAGGGATGTTGGAGACAGGTGCCCAGCAGTCTAGACGACAAATCCAAAGCCTTGCCCCATGGGGAACTGGGCCAGGTGCCTCACATTTTTCTCTCTCTGGTCTTCCACACCATCCTGAAAACATCCTGAAGCATCCACCAGGGCCACCTCAATGCTGCAGATATGAAAACAGCGTCCCCTCAAGGCACAGAGGTTTGCCAAGCCAAGGCAGGCAGGTGACAGCCTAGATTTGAGCCCAGGCCGCCTGGGATCCATGCCTGTACTTTCTGAGCCCTGCAGTATTATTGAGAAGAATCTTCTGGTTATCCTGGTGTGAACACACACCTGCAGCCTCCACGGAGATGGCTGCCTGAGGGCTCACACCCAACCTCGCCATCCCAATAAAGAGGCAGAGTCAACATCGATGTAAGAAACCGTGTGACCTGGGGTAAGCTACTGTGCCTCTCTGTGTGTTTCAGTTTCCTCCTGCGAGCTAGTTGATACAGATTTATTTCACAAGTCTATTCAAAAAGCGAATCAGCTGATAAAACATTTATAGACAATCTGATACATAGAAAATGTTCCTTTGAGGGAAGAGAATAGAGCACAGAGGAAGAAAGGCTTGAATTCTCGAAAGTAGAGCTATCTAGGGCTGGAAATTACTCGGCAGTTAAGAGTGACAGCTAGTCTTTCAAGAGACCTGAGTTTCATTCCCAGCACGCACACACATCAGACAGCTCACAACCCCTGTAACTCCAGCCCCAGAGGATCTGATGCCCTCTCCTGGCCTCCACAGGCAACTGCACTCACATGGACATGCCCACACATACATATAGTCACATAATTTAAAAAGTTAACAATCCTTTTTTAAAACATAGCAATTCCCTACTCTATACTGTCTTTCACCAATTCTCAAAAACTCCGTGAAGGGCTGGGGATCTAGTTCTTGCACGAGGATCCTGAGCACCACGAGAAACAAAGGAAGGGGGGAGAGGAAGGGTAGGGGCAGGAAGGAGGGAGAGCAGCAGCCTCCACCTCCACCTGCAGATAGACCGTGAGCTCCCGGGGCTCCCCTCTGTCACCTGGAATGCTGCCATTGCTGCCTTGCTTTGCCTAGACAACTCACTTAGCACCATGTGTGTGCTTGGCGGTACCGGCTTCCTGATTTCGAGGGCACTGGGCTGTGTTGTCCAGGACTGTTTGCTCCTGACTCTTTCCTGCAGTGGATGAGCTGGGCTGGTCAGTGCCCACATGTTTGTAACATTTCATTGTGTGGTGGGCACAGCTCGTCCAGCCACACTCACGTTCCTGGGCAGGTGGGCTGCGTCCCACATTCTGCCATCACAAGCAAAGCTGTTGGGCTCTTTCGTGGGACTGTGAGACCTGCTGGGATCCTGGGAGTAAAGCATCGGGGACGAGCCTGTGCCAGGGCCTAGAGCTAATGAGCGGGCTGATTCGCTTCTGCTGCCAGCACGCCTGTCTGGGCTTCATTTGGGGTTTTGTTTGTTTGAGGAGTTTCGTGTGAGTGTTGTTTTTGAGACAGGGTCTTACTATGCAGCCCTGGATATCCTGGAACTCACTGTGTAGACCAGGCTGGCGTAGAACCCACAGAGAGCCACCTGCTTCTGCCGCCCAAGTGTTGGGATCAAAGGCGTGTGCCACCATGCCTGGTCTGGTTTTAATTTTTCAGAGGTATTTTGGTTTTGGTTTTTTTGTTTGTTTGTTTGTTTGTTGTTGCTGTTTAGTTTTTCTTCTTTGTTGTTGACTTCTTGTGTTTTGTTAGTTTTTGAGGCCTAGTCTCACTATGTAGCTCAGGCTGGCCTGGAACTCATGACCTTCCTGCCTCAGCCTCCCGAGTGCTAGGATTACAGCCTGCACCACTGCACCAAGCTAAGCCTGCTTTGTTGTTTCTGTTTGGCTTCACTGATGAAATCAGGCTTGCCTGAAAAGGATAAATGGAAATATCAAACACCGCTGGTCACATGACCTGATCGGGGATCTTTCTAGAATGTTACACCTGAACATTACAGCTGGTAGCCAGTGGCCCACAATGGGGCAGCAAGAAGAATTATCTCAGCTTCTCTGCTATGGCTAAAAATAGTCTCTCCAGCGACCCATGTAAATTGCACCCATGACCCCTGGCAAGTTGGAACCTGGGTGGCAGCCCTTGTCTTCCACCCACAGGCCTCTTTCTCCTCCGTCACTTTGTCTCATGAATTACTGGCATCGTCATTTATGGGTAGTGGTGGACCTGGACCTTGAATGGTCACATGTCTGTCTATACCAAGTGCCTGAGCCCCCTTACCCTCTTGCCGTTGACCACACCCTGGCCAGCATTAACAGTGTCAGACGTTGTCAGTGTATGAGGGAGTCTCCTGGCAGACTTGACTTCTCTGCTTGTGTACTTCCCAAGCCCCTTCCCTGGAGCCGTGCTTCTTGGGCACACCGTATGCATGCGTCTTCTTCCATTTGATCTCAGTATCACTTACCTTTTGACACTCAGGTTCAGTCCACTTAAGTTTAATGTAATTGCTGACACATCTGGATGCAGCTGTTGCTCCTCCCCTCCTCTTCCTCTCTCTCCTTCTCCTTCTCCTCCTCTTTTTCTTTTCTCTCTCCCTCTCTCCCCCTCCCCCATTCTTACTTGTCTTATGTGCACCTCTGTCACTGAAACTTTCATTTCTTAAGCATCCCCTATGGCCTTCGATGTTCCGTTGCTCTTCTTTCCTCTCTGTGGCCTCCCCTTCATGGTGGCTCACACTCTTGTGATTGGGGAAGACGAATTTGGAACCTGTTTGCTTGATCTTACTCACAGAGCAAACACCCCTGACCTAACCTGGGGACCTTTTCTTCCAGGTTGAGATCACTACCCTCTTACAGAGGGTTTCCCAACCCAGGACCACCCCAGCTCCCTGGGAGCTTAATCTCAGAGGAGACTAACCTTCCCATCCTCCCTGCCCCTGGGTCCCCCAAAGTTCACTACCACCACATGGAAAATTTGCTTTAAGAAACCCTGTCCCTTGGGGCCGGAGAGATGGTTCAATAGTTAAGAGCACTGTCTGTTCTTCCAGAGGACTCAGGTTCAATTCCCAGCACCCACAGGGTAGCTCACAACTGCTAACTCCAGTTCTAGGGTACCCAACACCCTCACACAGACATATATGCAGGCAAAACACCAATGTACATGAAATACAAATAAATAAATGATTTATTTAAAAAAAGAAAGAAAGATAGAAATCCTGCCCCGGCAATGACCAGTTAAGGTAAACTCACTGACCCTCTCCTGCACCCCTAAGCCCAGTACCCCCCCCCCCCGTTTCCATCGGATGAACCCAGGGTTTCAGCCCCCACTTCTCACTTTCTTTTGTGTTTCTTCACAGTCCATGTTACCAGCTGTCACATTTTATATCCGTTTGCTAAACTGCTTCTTGTAGGCCACCCCCACACTAGAATGTGATGACTTGTTCATTTATATAGCCTTAGCAACTAGTGCAATGCCTAAAATATAAGTGCTAAACCATTATATGATGGATGAATGAGCAAATGAGACACAGCACCTGTCTCCAAACGCTCTCCGTCTGGCAGCTGAGCCAGACAGGGACAGTCAGTTACAAGACGGAGAAGTAACTTCTGCTGTGGGGAAAGGGGTGGAGAGAAACCTCCATCCAGACTGGAGGTCAGGGACTTCTCTGCCCGGGCCTGGGCTGGAGGGGCCTGGGGATGGACCGAGCTGAGATGCTAAGGATATATAGCCATCATTCCACAAACGAAAGCCATCGGGGAGAATGTCCCAGAAAAAAAAGACCAGCCCAAAGATGAGAAGGATGCTCTCTGGAAATAAAAGTTGTTTGGTGTGGCAAGATTGAGGAAGGGAAACTGGGCTGGAGAGGGGTCACAGGTCAGACCTCCCTGTGCTCCCAAGATCCACTGATAGTTTGGTGGTGATGACTTCAGCTGTGGAGAGAACATGCTGAGGCTGCAGGGCAGGAGGTTTCCTCTGGCTTCTGGGGAGGGAAAGGGGCCTGTAAAGTGGTTCTGTCCAGACGGGGGCTGGTTCCGAGCGGGTTGATGATGCAGTGGGGCCAGTTGGGGGTTTCTGCTGGTGGAAGAGCATGCTGAGCGGGCTGTGTGAGTGGGCTCAGTTGACGGGCAGAGGAGCTGCTCAGTTGGTATTGGTTATGGTGATCTGAAAGATGAAGAGCCCAAACCCTAGACTCCTAAGCCAATACTTTTTAATTAGGGTTGGATTTAGCAAAAATAAAAATAGATATATGGGACATGAGGCCGAATTTGAATTTCAGATAAACGAGTAACTTTTTAGTATAAGCATGTCTTCCAAAGTGAAATTCCTTTGCACTGTCTGAAATTCTCTTTTCAAGAGCCATCATGCACCCACACTGCCCAGGGCCTTCCTGACCTCCCACACTGTCAGCTCTTTACCGAGTGCCCCCTCAGAGCCCTTACTCTGAGCAGCGTCCCCAAACTCCATCCCAGACCCTTCTGCCTTCCTGCCGGTCTGGAAGTCCAGAAGCTGGTCCACCACCTAGGCTGAATCTGCTGGGGAGACTGAAGGACAGTTGGAGTCGACCTGACAGCCCGTACCTCCTCTGTCCAACCCAACTCCACATCTCCACTGGGGTATTTACATGAAGCGCTACCCCAGAGCCTGGGCCTCAGTGAGGCTCAGAGCCACAGGCTTAGGGCTGTCATTGTGGCCACATCCTTCTTTGGGTGACTCTGGTTTCCTGGTTCTGAGAGGCCAGGTCCTGGGCTCAAGCAAGGCCCTGCTTCACCCCCCAACCCCCCACCGAGTTGTCCAAAGATCCCCCAGCACCTTTGTTAGCATGGAGACCCAGCCCAAGGATCTTCATGCTGGCCTAACCATGGGGACCTGGTGGAGGATATTGCCTGAACCCAGAGTGGGAAAGAGGCCTTCCCTGAGGTACACCTGGGGAGGCTTCATGGAAGATGTGATAAATGGACCAATGGCGGACTCAGAGACTGGGAGTGGAGATATGGCTAGCCTGTGGTTTCCTGGAATATCCCTGGCACAGTCGGGGCCAGAAGGGCTGAGCAAGGTCCTCCTCCAAGAAAAGTCAAGGAGAAGGCCACAGAATAGGAATGGAAGGATATGCCTAAGGAGGAGCTGTGCGGTCACACAGCGCCAGCCTGGGACCTCCCCAGCCTGCCTCCATTGAAACTGTTGACAACAGTAACAGGGATTGAAGAGATGGTTTAGTACATAAAAGCATTTGTGCGCAGGCACAAGGACCTGAGTTCACATCCCAGCACCTGTGTAAAAAGCCAAGTGTGTCACATGAGCCTGTCACCCCAGCACTGATGTGTTGGTGTGTCAGGGGTGAAAGTAGAGGACCGCCGGGGTTGCCGGCCATCAGCCCAGCTCCATGGTCAGTGAGAAACCCTGTCTCAAGGGAATAAGGCAAAGAGTCATAGAACAGAACACTCAACGTCCTTCTCTGGCTCCGGTACACATGTGCAAGGATGCTGCACCAGTACACACATGTGCACATATAACACACACACACAATAATAATAATAATAATAACAACAATAATAATAATGGTAATATACATCTCATAATAGCAGTAAACGTTTACTGAGGCCTCATGTAGTAAGACTGAAGTGGATTTTCTCTTTTACTGACTCTCCCAAAGAGTTCCTACTGTTGTATACCTGCTGAAGATGGAGAAACTAAGGCACAAAGAGGTTGGAGGACTTGCCCACAGCCACAGACCGGGCATCTGAGTGGAGGCAGCCTGGTCCAGAGCCTGTCACACACTCATCAGCCAGTGAGGAGCTAAGTACATGATTACCCAGAAACACCCAGAAAGGCAGAAGACCCCCTGGGAGGATGGAGTCATGATTACCCAGAAATGCCCAGAAAGGCAGAGGACCCCCACCCCCCATGCCAGGAGGATGTCATCCAACTCTGATTCCCTTTTTGTGGTTCAAGGACATTGTGTGTCTGATGGAGAATCTACCCCAACCAGCTGCTCTGGTGTTAGGAGTGCCTGGGCACAAACCCCTAAATGTGACCTTGTTCAGCTGCACAGTGAAAGACGATGGATGTGTGAAAGCCAAAGGCATTGGAGGTCCCAGACTCTCTTACTGGTCGATGGGCCCTCAGACAGGTAACAGCTGCATTTCCAGGGGCAATTTTGGAGCTAATGCCTTGGCGCACAAGCCAACAGTGCCCCCTACTGTCCATCCTGGGGAAAGCACGGACTGTCTCCCACCTGGTCTGACAGGCAGGCAGGTCTAAAGCAGCGCAGATTCTCTCCCATTGTGGGCCGAGTTTGTAGATTTTGAACACACACCCTCATGTCCACCAGGAAAATCCGGTCCTACACAATGATTTAGGAGCTAGAGCCCTCGAGCCCAGCTGGCTCTGTTTCAGGGAAGAGACAGAGGCCTGGCTTTGGCTGCTGGTCTACACCACCTGTGGGGGCTAAGGAGGGGGAAGGGCTGGATTTCTTGGCCTTTGGAAAGATAGAAAGTTGAAGTCGTCATCAGTTGGGACTGACAGAAGGAAGAGTGGCCCCAGGCATAGGCCACGACAGTGTGAGTATCTGTAAGTGCTGAGCAGGTGTGGTCCAGTCGGGCTTAGCCTCCTGGCTCGCAGGCCTGTGCTCTGTCCATAGTCTGGCCAATGGAACTGCACTCAGGTATGAAGGACCAGGACAAGGATCCACGCGCTGTCTTCTGCCCTAGGTAATTCTGAGAGGTGAAAAGGATCCCTGGGAGGGTACAGCGGACTCTGGTGTTCCACAACCAGCCCACCGCCTTCCCTGGACGAGCCAGGGCTGTGGGCTGCTGGGAGTAGGAGAGGCTGAGGCTGCAGGCTGGGAGCTGGATTAGTGTGTCATCTGGGAGGAGCTGACTGCCTCCTTCTCTGCCTTGGCTTTGCATCTGAGTAATGCCTCTGTGAGCAGAACCACAGGAAGAGGAAGAAACCTGCAAGACAGGCTGGTCAGTGAGAACGTCACCAGAACCCAACAACTTCCTGTCGTTGGGGGGTAGAGGGACAGACCCAGAGGGCACCTTCATGCAGTTCAGAGGCAAGCCTCTCCTCTGGGCAGATGTGTCCCCAGACCAGTTAAAATGGAGCTGTGGGCTCAGTCATCATGCACCCCTTGACCTAGAGACCCCCAATGACTAGCCCCTCCCAGCGCCTACCGCCCTGCAAGCTCCTGCAGCCTACCATAGAGCGAGTTGAAGATGGTGAAGAGGAAGAGCTGAGGCAGCAAGAAGACACTGATGGAGAAGAAGGCCAGGGCCCAGGTGGTGCCCAGTAGCACAGTGAGGCCCAGCACCAAGACAGTGTCCCGATAGGCCCAGGGTCTCAGTGCCTTCTCCCGAGCCCGGAGCCTACACAAGATCCACAGAGCCCAGGCTAGCACCACCAGGTTGAACAGAGATGTTAGGCCACCATAGCCCATGACCAGGACCCTGTGTACCATGGGACTGCTCACCCAGCACCTGCAGGAGAGGAGAGAGGGCCAGGATTAGCATGACCCCAAGACCTGCACGAGGCCAAGTGCCTTGGGAGCCTTGGGACCGACTCTTATCCATGCCTGGTCTCGCTGGCCCAGTGATTGTAACTTGCCTGATAGTTCATATGCCCAAGCCCCTCGCCCAGCTTCCCATCAGCCACCACAACAGGATCATCCGGCACCTCCACCCACTCACTGAAGTGCCTCCTTTCAGCCACAGAGCCTCAAGCCTCCTCCCCTCACTCTGCTGCCTCAGCTCCTCCATGCCAACCTGACCAATGTCCTAGTAGATCACTGGCCTGGGCTCTCACTCTGGAAGCTTCCTCTTCCGTTCTACCCACCATCATTATCTTGTCATCACCTTTGTGCAATGGGACACGCCTCCCTAGACATTTCCCCACGGAGAACTGAGCAGTTTGTGAAGCACAACCCCTGGTTTGGTGGGTAGATGATCTAGTATGAAAGAGCTGTGGAGCAGATGAGCCGTAGGGAAATCCCACAGAAGGCACTGAACCTGGGGGTGCCTGCTGGGCCCTGACTTGGGCCTAGGCCCTCCAAGAGGCCTTGGGCTTTTCCTGTCTAGGACACCTTCAAGACAGGTGCTAATCTTTGCTTAGGTCAGAGCATGCCCTAAGGTCATGGGTTATCCCAGGCGCTCCTCATTACAGACCAGGGGCAGGCACCTAACCATCTCCATCCCACAGTTAAGGCTTCTGCTCAGGAGCTCAGGCTGGCTGGGGCAAGGGTGGGACTTGAAGCCCCTTGGTCTGGGCCCTGAGTCTGAGTTCCTGTCACAATCATGTATCTAGATACCCCCTCCTGGGGCCCTGACACTGGAGTCATGGTGTCTTTGAACACCATTTATAAGAGCCATGCGCATTGGTAACTAGCATTATGCGTCCTCTGCTTTTGCTGCTACAGAATGTTCTAGCATGAAGGCTCTGCCACTGCTTGCTACTCCAGCATCCCTGCTACGTGACCAGACTGTGTTTGAAGAGTGCTTTTTAAAACGTCATTTTAAGGGTTGGGTCAGTGGTAGAGTGCTTGCCTAGCAAGTGCAAGGCCCTGGGTTTGATCCTCAGCTAAAACAAACAAAAAAACCCATCATTTTAGTTTAGGGATGCAGATAGATGAAAGATGGGTAGATAGGTAAGTAGATGATAGAAAGACAGATACATACATACATGCATGCACGGATAGATAGATGATAGATAGGTAGGTAGGTAGATAGATAGATAGATAGATAGATAGACAGAGATAGATAGATAGATAGATAGATAGATAGATAGATAGATAGATAATAGATAGGTGGATAGATAGATGAATAGATAGATAGACAGATAGAGAGATAGATGGATGGATACATAGATGATAGAGTTCTATGAGTTTTTAATGGAAGATAAAAGTCACCAAAGCGGGATAACAATCTCCTGAAGGACAGAAAGGGGTAAGAAATGCAGGGACGCTGGTTCATAGTGCGAAGGTTCCCATTTGTCCACTGCTGTGTTCCTGTCTTGGGGACGTGACAATTAAGCTCTTCTGTCCCCACTGTACATGATATAATGAGATATATCTCTAAAGGGGCTCACCCCTCAGCAATATCTATGCCACTTCCCACTCTTCCCCAAACTCCCAGTGACAGTCGTGAGTTGGAGCTGGACAATGTCTCGGGGACTACTCTGGAGCTGCTGGCAGGCCAAGTCCCAGCTTTCAGTTGATAGCCTTGGATGTCATGGAAGAGTTCTTGAGCTGTCTGTGCCTCAGTTGCCCTATTGTGACATAGGGCTGGCAGTGGGGCTGAGCCCTCACTGTGAGCATTGAACATGCTCATCCACCAAGCCTGTTCCCATGAGCCCTTAGCCATCCTGAGCTGTCATGGTGGCTGGACTGCCAGCTCTCCAGATGGCTTCATGAGGGTCTTATTCATTATTTTATTTATTGTTGTTATATGTGCATGGTGTGTGGGAGTGTAAGCATGCATGCCATGATACACACAGATGTGGGGGTCAAAGGACAGCTTCGGGGAGTTCGTTTTCTCCCTCCACCATAGGTTCTGGGGATAGAACTCAGGTTGTAAGTTTGGGCCTTTACCCACGAGTGGTCTCACTCACCCTCTACAGGGGTCTCCTCCACCACTGTAGCGTACCCACCTGTTGGAAGTGTTTTATCGTAATAATAATCTTGATGTCCTTGAATGCAGAAAGCCACAGCAGAGTTTGTCTTCCTCTCTGCTGCCTCCCCCCGCCCCCAGGCCCTGTCGAACCCCCTTAGCGTTACCCATGTATCCATCCATCCCCCAGGTCCCACACCAGCAGCATGGGAGTGCTGGCAGTGTCCTGTGCTCTGTGCAAGGAAGAGCTAAGCTGAGCCTGCCAGCTACAGAAGGTGGCCTGAAGACACAGCAGTCAGGTGCCAGCTGAGCTTAGCAGCTCTGGTGCCTGCACTGGGTAAAACCACAGAACCAACCATGTGGCCATGTGATATATGGCCAAGTGTTGCCAGGACCTCCTAAATCAGTGGTTCTCAGTCTGTGGGTCTGAACCCCCACAGCGGTGACATATCTGATATCTACATTACAATTCATAACAGTAGCAAAATAGCAGTTATGAAGCAGCAACGAAAATAATTCTGTGGTTGGGGGTCACCACACCATGAGGAACCGTATTGAAGGGCTGCAGCATTAGGAAGGTTGAGAGCCACTATAACTGGTTCTGGAGGCTCAGCAAGTATTGGTGTCCACTCTATGGCTTCCTAGTCCATCAGCACAGAGCAGGCATCCACTCCTGCAGAGACCTCAGGGACATGGAAAGGGTGAGAAGAACCCATGGGGATCCTCCCCCCTCCCAAACCATGGCTCCCTCTCTGGCCCTCAGCCATCACTTCACCCTAGAAAGCCCAGGCCCGCATGGCCCCTTTATCTCACCAGGCACTCACATGGACACATTCTGGAAGGCTGTGCCGTTTTCCTGGCTATTGAAGAAAGAGATCACACAGGGCCCGTACACTGAGCTCTTGACCACCAGAAGAAACAGCACCAGGAGGGCGGGAAACCCTGAGGGGCGAGACAAAGACAGGAAGCCCCGAGATGAGCTGGCTCTGGTCCTCTGCCCCGCTGGCTGACGGAGGAGGGGATGCACGCTGTGCTGAGCTGCAGCCGCACGCACACGAGAGCCGGCTTCAGAGCCAGCTTAGCGGTCAGTGAAATTCCAGAGCTGAGCAGCAGCAGCAGCGGTGGTGGTCACCTGGGAGGTGGCAGGGAGCGAACAGGAGGTGGGGGTGGCCGGGGAACTTGAGAGGAAATAGAGATAATAACAAGATGGACTAAGGTGGTGCAGGTGTCCGTGGTGGTGCTGCTGTGGCAAAGGGGAGGGGGGAGGGGATGGTGGTGGGGTGCAGTGAAGGTGAGGAAGGTGATGGGGATGAAGGAGGTGGGGTGCTGGGGATGGGAGTAAAGGCAGGTGTGGGTGGTAGAGGCAGGGACCTGGTGGTGGTGACAGTGGGAACAGGGGGCCGGGGGGTGCTGAGAGTGGAGGTGATGAGGGTCCCAATAGCAGTAATGATGGTGTTGGAAACGCAGATAGGAAGGTGACGGTATGCAGGAGCAATGGTGGTGTCGGGGGTGGAGGGGATGGTGGAGCTGATGCCATGGATGGAGAGGGAGTTAGAGATGCTGGAGAGAGCTTAGTAACGTTGAAAGGGATGGTGAGTGTTGACGGGGATGGTAGCTCATGCTCCTGCAGTTGTGGTCACTGGGACAGGAAGGAGGACTTGGGCTTAGCACCCTGGACTCGGGCAAGTGAGACAGGTGTCCCTTACCCCAGCCCAGCACGCAGAGCTTGAGCAGGTATCGGTGGATGTAGACATTGTAGACGCGCCCCAGGAGAAGGTAGAGGTTGAAGCCTTCGATGGCCATCCAGGTAAGGCAGCTGAGCAGTGCGTAGTGTAGGGTGGCAGCCAGCACCAGGCAGACCGACCTGGGCACTGGGAGCGGGGCCATCTGGGAGCTCAGAAGGAAGGTGACATTCAGGAGCAGAACAGAGCCGTGCAGGTTCACGTGGATGCGTGAGATGGAGTCACTTTGCTTCCTGTGGGTGGGATATCACTCAGTGCCACGGCCTGGCTCACAGATGCACAGTGATGGGGGAACTGAAGCTAACGGGGAGAGACGCAGTAGCTGCCACAGTGTTAGGATGGCATATGCTCTGTGACCCTTCCCTCTGAGTAACCCACCTGCCCCGGAAAGCTGGAGCAAGACACGAAGCGGCAGTAGGGTGGGGGGGCTGGGCAAGGCAGGAGTTACCTGGAGTGGGCATGCAGGAGTATGGCGAGCAGGGAGGCCACAATGGAGATGCTGCAGCCCACCAGGGAGATGTACTCAAGGGGCACCTGTAGTTCAGCGGGCACCGGGTCTGCAGAGAGCTGCTACAGGGCAAAAGGAGATAAGGGCCTGAAGCTTAGAAATGCCCAGCTCTCTCTGGGCACCACCAGAAAAGTCTCCCAGACCTCAGTTCCAAGTTCCTTCCCCACAGCCCAGCCCCTCCTGCCTTGAATGAAGCCATAGCCTGCACTGTGGCTCTTGTAACCCACAACGCCCTGAAAGCACTCCATGCACATAGGCGGGGTGCCCTTCTCCCACTCTATGGATAGGCACAAGTCTGGGCTGAGACTCGGTAAGGGAGGCTCTTGAATTCCACTGGTCTGAAAGCCAGCAAGGCGTGAGCCTGAAGGTTTCTGGCAGCTGTGTTATTATCCCCTAGGGCATCCCAGCTGAGGGCCAAGCCAGGATGGAGCGAGCATAGTGGAGGGACAGAGATGGAATCCTGTCTTAGTGTGATCTAGACCCTGGATCAAGCCATGCCTGAAGCATAACAGACTTTTAAAGGAAAGCAGGTCCCTAAATTGACTTGTGTGACTTAATCATGGGAGAGTTGGGCTCACCACCCTTTACGTTGTCTTCAGCCTTGCTCCTGCACCACCTCTCAGGGGCTCCCGAAGCTCCCATTCCCCTCACTCAAGGCGAATGCCCGCATACCATGAGAACCGCGAAGTAGGTGAGGTGGTGGCAGTGGCAGAGAACCTGAGAGGGTGAGGGCTGCTCTGTAGAACAGCCCTCGGGGCTCCAGGCCCCCCAGCTGCGCTCGGCGGCTCCCTCCTTCCAGAAAACACAGGTTACTGTGTACCCTTCCTGAAATGAGATGTGAGTCAGTCCAGGGGTGCGGGACAACATCCCATGTTAGGGGCTGGGAGCCTGGGGCCCAAGGGAGATTCAACTGCACCACTGTCAACATTTTGTGGGTGCTGGCTGGGTTTTGGCAATCCCAGATGCCAGCCCCACCTTCACCACAAGTTCTCAGTGTTCTGGACAAGTGGGCAAGTTTCTCTGAGCCTCAGCGTATTCATCTGCAAAATGGACCCTGCATATCCAAGTCACAAGGTTAGCAGAAGCACAGAAGGCCACTCAGCCTTCGGGGTGGGGGTGGCAGTGGTGGTCCTTCATGTGGCAGGTCTTCTATAAGCCACTGTTTGCTGCCTCCTCACAGACCCATCACAGGAGACTCATTTGCAGCCAAACCCTATGATGGAGGCAAGGGGTCTGACGCAGACACACTATGGAAAGCGGCAGAGGAGGGAGAGACAGAAGGAGGCCTTAGGGGACATGGACTGAACGGAAGTGGAACAGGACACTCATTCCAAAGGGAAGGGCGATGGCAAAGCTCCGAAGGCAGGAGGGAGGGTCGCCGAGAAGATGAGAATGAAGCCTTCCTGAGAGACTGAGGCGGACGGAGCCAGAACACAGACTCTGGACTTCTTCACAGGGAGGCAGGCAGGCCGGGGACCCAGAAGCAGCAGCATCGGGACTCGCGTCTCCCGGATACTCTTCTCTGTTCCGGCATCAGCACCGGCACTACCCCACCCCATGTGACCCAGCCTGACAAATCCACACATCTCGTCCTCCTGGACACAGCCTGCTTCAGTCAGTCAGACCTTTCGGAGCCCTGGTTTGCACTGGGGGGAAGAACCTTAGACGCCAACCCAGTGTCTTCAGTATCCATCTTCCCACAGGAAGGAAAGCCAAGGAAAACATTGTTGAGACTAGAGAAGACGGAACTCTGACAGTATTATGTCTGTGCCTGGATCCAGCCATACCTGAAGGTGGAACTCCCCTGAACATTCCATTGATAGGAACACATAAATCCCCTTTAGAGCTTAAGCTGGCTTTCTAGCACTAGCAACTGGAAAAAAAAAAATCATGACAAAATTCTTTCTTCGCAGAAATTTTCGAAGAACAGATTTAAAGTTGTTTCCCATATGGTGCCACGATTTTCAGTTTGGTCAAACCAGGGTTGACGGGAAAGCTTCAGGGGCTGGGGTGGAGGTGGGCCCAACAGTACCAGACTTTGGTTGTGCCAGAAGCTGATGTTGACCGGCTTCTGAAGGTTGTTCACGGGCCTGTGATCCAGCTGGGCCCCCAGGACATAGTTATTGAGCAGGGATGAGTTACTGTCATCCTGGAAGGGCAGGAGAAAAGAGGCTAAGTAGAGGGGAGCCGGAGAGAGCCCGTGTGAGATCAGAATTCTCATCCCAGCCCCTCCTCCCTGTCGCCTTGAGTCAAGCTTCTGGGCAGGCCAGTGAAGGATTATCTAGATCAGGTTAGACAGGCCTGTGCACCCTTGCCCACCATGATGGACTGCATCCTCAAACTATGGGCCAACAAATTCTTCCCTAAGTTGCTTTTGTCTCTCCCTAAAGCAGGTAGGGAAAGTGGGTCCCAGAGTGGCGGTGACCAGCTACGGTTGCACAGTGAGTTGGTCCCCCCTTCCAGCCCGACCTGCGACACAGAACCCCCCTTAGCCAGCCTCTGCTGACCTGGAAGAGGTCTGCGGTGAAGAAGTAGATGCAGACGAGCCGGAGCTCGGCAGGCCCGGACGTCACACAGGCCTCCTTGGTCAGCTCAGCCGGAAACTGCATGGCGTGTGGGGCCCAGGCCTGGGGATGGCAGCAGATGGGCTGAAGCCTAGTGGTCAGAGATTATGGATCCAGTCCCAACACCTTTGGGCTCCCTCCCCATTAAACAGTACCAGGCCTCACTTGAGCCCCCACTTTCTGACAGCACCCCCTCCCAGTCCTCCCCCCCATCTTCATTCCCTGAGGACAGAACCACCCCAGCGCATACACACACACACACACACACACACACACACACACACACACACACACCCCCGCACTGGCCAAGCATCCTGCCCTATTAACACCAGAGTCTTAAAAGGACAGAGGTGGTCCTGGCTGCCACCAGCCCCAGGGACCTGCCCCCCACCTGCCTCCAAGCAAAATCAGGATGAAGGCCCTGACCACGAGGAATCATGGAGTACCTCCTCTGTCTGCTCTCCGCGGAGGAAAGCAGAAGAGGCAACTCCCAGCTGGTCAGGGCAGAGCGTGGACAGGGGACTAGGGCACCAGGCAGTGGGGGAAGATCTTAACCATAAGCCCCTGCAGGACTTCCCTGGCTGCCTCTGACCTGGGAGGCATTTGTCAGGGTGGCACTGGACAGGGAGAGGCCAGGAAAGTTGCAACCCAGCTTGAAGACCAGAGACTGGATAGAGTTTGTCTGCAGCGTCAAGTTGTGCCCGCGGAAGCTGGCGTTGAGCAGCATCTCCTCCAGGCGATGGATATGCCTGGGACTGGGCAGCAGTGGGGGAGGAGCTTGAGACAGCCTGGGGGTGGGGCCTCCCACCCCCACCCAGCCCTCCCACCGTTACATCTCTACTCCCCAAACCCCCAACCCACCCTGTGTAACCCATATCCCCAGCCCACGTCTTAGAGCCCCTGCCTAGGAAATGCATGGACCCATTTGACTCATAACACTTCATCAAGGGTCCTCACTAGACAATAAACTCTGGGAGGGCTATGGCAAGCCTCTCTTGAAACTCCAGACCCTGGTACCAGGCACACAGTGAGCACTCACACAGTGGGTACTCACACAGTGGGCACTCAGTCACCACAAACTGAATATGTGTATGGCTGAGGGTACACCTGACTCACCTCACTCTGGAAGACAAGGTCCGGCCAAAGGGCTGCTCAAGGCGCTTCATCAGGTGCAGTAGCTCTGACAGTGTTTCTGTGGACAGTGGGACTCAGGCCTTGAGCCAGCTTCTCAGCACTCCTCCCCCAAGAAGCCATCACCTACCTGCTGGGGTACTTTGAGCAGCCAGAAGACACAGGCAGACGAAAAGGGACCTGTGTGCATCCATGTCCTCGGCTGGTATCCTCTTGGCCTTGGAGAGGGGATACCATGGTCAGTACCTCTACCTTCTAGATATTTGTGTAACCCCCCCAGCTTTCCTCTCCTCCTCCTCCTCCTCCTCCTTGTTCTTCTTCTTCGTTGTTGTTGAGATAGGATCTTCTGTAGCCCAGGCTGGCCTCAAACTTGCTAAGTAGCTGAGGGAGACCTTGAACTTCTGATCCTCCTGCTCCTTCCCCACAAGGTGATGAGATTGCAAAACTCATCACAACACCCACAAGTACTGAGGATCAAACCCAGGGCCCGGTGCAAGCTAGGCAAGCCAACTCCACCCCTAACCCAGGACGGTCAGCTTCTCCACTACTTCTCCAACTCCTTCATAAGAAAACTCAGGCAGAGGCCAGAGTCTGTCTTGGCTTGAAGATGGCTGAAGCCAAGTGTCCTTGACCCCAGAAAGTTTGACCACTGAGTATAGCTGCCATTAGCTGCTAAGCCAGAGAGTCTCCCTGAGGGTTCCCCGCCTCAGTGGGTTGGGGGTGGAGTACTACTGAGAGCAAGCAAGGCATAATTCTGACCCATCTGTTGACAGACCTTGCCTGGCAAGTCCAAGGTCCTAGTTCAATCCCCAGCATCTCAGAAAAAGAGGAAAATAGATGAATGAATGAACTTCTGCTTAAATACAGTAAGATTATGTCTGCCCCAAAAACCCTTCCAAAAGGAGGCTGGACGGATGAGATAAGCACAAAGCAAAAGGCATAGTGACACATGCCTTTAATCCCAGCACTCGGAAACAGAGGCAGGCAGATCTCTGAGTTCAAGGCCAGCCTGGTCTATAGAGAGTTCCAGGACAGCCAGGGCTATGCAGAGAAACCCTTGTCTGGAAAAACAAAGAAACAAAAATGATAAGCACAAAGCCACAAGACAGAAGAATGGGGAGGAGGAAGGAAGACAGCTGAGATTTCTCTAGTGACATCGAGCAGGTGACTGCCTGGGAAATAAATTTGACAATTTTATCTATTATTGCAATGGGGAAAGGAGGGGGACTTGGGGAGAATATGGGGAGCAAGGAGACACCAGCTAGTTCAAGGCTCATGGCCTTGCAAGCACTTAAGAATGGGAGGCATCAGGGGCCTCTGAAGAGGGGGTGGAAGATGAGGCTGAACACGGGATTTAGTCAGGGAGACAGCCCAATGGGTGAGCCCTTGCCACATCAACAAGAGACCAGGGTTTGCATCTTAGAGCCCTTGGAAATACCGGGTGAGCAAAGCGACCATCTGTTATTCCAGACTCAGAAGGCAGGCAGGGGATCCAGAGAAAGCTGTCTAGGTGAACCATATTGGTGAGCTCTCGGTTTGATTGAGAGCTACTGCCTCATTGACTACGGATGGGAAGGAGAATAGATAGGGAGGGAGGTAAATAGATTAGATAGATAGATAGATAGATAGATAGATAGATAGATAGATAGATAGATAGATAGATGATAGATAGATAGATAGATGAATAAATGTAAAAATAAATTAATAAATTTGAGTTTTTTGTTTTGTTTTGTTTTTTTGAGACAAGGTCTCACTATGTAGCTCTGGCTATCGTGGAACTCATAGTGTAGACCAGGCTGGCCTCAAACTTACAGATAGCCCCCTGCCTCTGCCTCAGCAATACTAGGATTAAAGGCATGGTTACCATGCCTGGCCTTACAACATTTTTTTCAGTGATATGGTAGCATAATTCATTTAGGCCAAGAATCTCTTTGATATAAGAATCTTGATAGAAGAATAAAATAATACGGCAAAGAGTCCATGTACGCTGTGTCTGAATGAATCTGAAGAATTTTGCTTGGTCCTTTTGCCAATCAAGTGGGGTGAAGATACCCATGACTGTTGGTCACATGTGCTGTTTCCTGCTTTGACATATCACAGTATCAGACCTTAACGTTCCCAAACTGTGTATCTGTGCTATAACTTTATTCAGTAGAACACAACCTTGAGCCCCAAAGGATGAAAATTCGGAAAAAAAAACAAAACAAAAAAAACCCAACAATCCTTCACACTGCTGAACGCAGTGTACACAGTCTGTTTCTGTCATAGAATGTGCCTAACCTGATCAGAGGGACTGACTTCTCATTAAATTACTTCAGGAATTAATTAAAGCTATTAAGGAAAGAATTTCTAAAAATAGGACCAGGGAGATGCCTGAGACGGTAAGAGAGCTTGCTGCGTGATAAACATCATGACCAAAACCATCTGGTTGGGGGGCATTTCAGCTTACAGCTTACATTCCATCATGGAGGGAAGTCAGGGCAGGAACTGAAGCAGAAGCCGTGAAGGAACATGCTTACTGGCTCACTCCTCCTGACTCCTCAGCCGGCTTTCTTAGAGAACCCAGGGCCACCTGTCCAGCAGAGACACCACCCACAGTGGGCTGGGCCCTCCCACCTCATCATTAATCAAGACGAGACCCCACAGGGCAATCCGATGGAGTCAATTCCTCAATGGATGTTTCCTCTTCCTAAAATGATTCTAGTTTATGTCAAGTTGACAACAAAACAACAAAACACAACTAAGCAGCTTTCCACACAGGCCTGACTACCTGAATTCCTTGGGCAGAACATGTTAGAAAGAGAGAACTCACTCCCAAAGGCCTCCCTGACCTCCACATACATGCTGTGCAGGAGCATGACTACACACACACACACACACACACACACACACACACACACACACACATACACACTCACACACTAAATAAGTAAATAAATAAATGAATAAATGTTAAAAAAAAAAGCCACATAGGTGTCCACACTCACACATGTGCATGCACACTCATGTGCAACATGATAATTAGAAAGAAAGGAAAGAGCTAGCTTGGAGATGGACAGATGGCTGCACAGTCCTGTAGTCATGAGGACTGGCATCCGAGTCCCAGCTCCCCTGTAACAAACCCATGTTCCCCACGAGCACCTGTCGCCCCCGTGCCAAGTAAACAGAGGCAGGGAGATTTCTGGGGTTTGCTGGATTCCAGCCTAATCAAGGCATAAGCGCCAGGTTCAAGTGACCCTGCCTAAGAGGAACAGTAAAAGAGGATGTAGAATGCCCCACACTCTCTTCTGGCCTCTGTGTGCATGCATGTGCACACTCGCACACACAGAGACAAGTGAAAATCTTTTATAAACTGTTCCAGCAAGATGGTTCAGGGGGTAAAGGCACTTGCTACCATGCCCGACAACTGAGTGAAATACTCAGGACCCACATTGGTGGAAGGAGAGAATTATCCCTTACAAGTTGTCCTCCGACCTCCACACAAGCACTGCGAACTATACACACCCACACACGTACACACACACTTACACAATAAGTAAATGTATTTTAAAAGTTTAAAGCCTAGTGCAGCAGTACTCACATTTAATCTCAGCACTGTGCAGGCAGAGGCAAGCAGCTCTTTATGAGTTCTAGGTCAGCCTAGTCTACTTAGGGAGTTCCAAGCTATGCAGGGCTATATAGTGAGACCCTGGGGTTTTTTTTAAATAATAATAATTTCTAGAAGGAAAGTTGAAGCTCTGGAGAGATGGCTCAGCAGTTAAAAGCACTTGTCAAATGACTTGGATTCAGTTCCCAGCACCTACATAGCAGCTCACAACCATGTGTGCCTCTAGTTCCAGGGGATCTGATGCCCTCTCTTCTAGCCTCTGCAGGCAATGAGCTCACATATGGGGTACATATATACATGTGGGCAAAACACTCACACCCATAAAATTAAAATTACAAATAAATAAATGCTTTTTTAAAAGGAGGGGACTTAAAATGTCTATTAATAGAGGGATAGCTGAATAACACAGGGTTCAGTGGCTCCTGGGAAACAGCTAGGCAAATGTGTGTGTGTGTGTGTGCCTGCGTGACAAGACAGCGCTGTGGTGAGGGCCAGTGGTAGAGCACTCGCCTCATCCATGCAGCCTGGGTTCCACGGCAGCACCACCAACAGAAACTGAAACTAAACACACATCTACCACGGGAGCTTGCAGTAGCTCTTGAGTGTTCGTCTGAGAAATAAGAACATGTTCACAAAGAAATCTGTACACAAGCGTTCACATCAGCTTTATTAATAATATCCCAAAATTGGGGGACTGGCAAGACGGTTTCAGTGGGTAAGGGCACGTACCACAAAAACCTGGTGACCTGACTTCAGTGTCTGCAACCCACGTAAAGACTGGAGAGAACCAAACCCATGAAGTTGTCCTTTGACATCAACATTATTTCAATGGCACATGTGCATCCTACTCATGCACATGTCATACAGCTGTAACACAGGCACGCCACGAGGTCTAACTGTAACGCAGTCACGCTGTGAGGTCTAACTGTAACACAGCCACGCCATGAGGTCTAACTGTAACACAGCCACGCCGTGAGGTCTAACTGTAATGCAGCCACGCCGTGAGGTCTAACTGTAATGCAGCCACGCCGTGAGGTCTAACTGTAACAGCCACGCCGTGAGGTCTAACTGTAATGCAGCCACGCCGTGAGGTCTAACTGTAACACAGCCACGCCGTGAGGTCTAACTGTAACAGCCACGCCGTGAGGTCTAACTGTAACAGCCACGCCGTGAGGTCTAACTGTAACAGCCACGCCGTGAGGTCTAACTGTAATGCAGCCACGCCGTGAGGTCTAACTGTAACAGCCACGCCGTGAGGTCTAACTGTAACAGCCACGCCGTGAGGTCTAACTGTAACAGCCACGCCGTGAGGTCTAACTGTAATGCAGCCACGCCGTGAGGTCTAACTGTAACAGCCACGCCGTGAGGTCTAACTGTAACAGCCACGCCGTGAGGTCTAACTGTAACACAGCCACACTGTGAGGTGTAACTCAACAATTCGGAGAAATATGCTTCTTAAAAAAAAAAAAACAAAGCCGGGCGGTGGTGGCGCACGCCTTTAATCCCAGCACTCGGGAGGCAGAGCCAGGTGGATCTCTGTGAGTTCAAGGCCAGCCTGGGCTACCAAGTGAGTTCCAGGAAAAGGCG